GCCTGTCCTGTGATTAATGATGCTGCAATTGTGGAGATAATGCCTTCTTGGTTTTGAGTTATTCTTCAGCGTACACACCTGATTGTGATATTATTGCATCAAGGGATATTGGTTCTCTACAATAAGTACTTTTTGAACACTATTAAAGTTGTATCTCCATCAGTCTAGACTCGTCCCATTTAAGCTGTAAGTAGATCTTCTACTTTGAGATTATCTTCATAGGTAACTTCCCTCCTTCATCTGGTGTTGAACCTCCTTGTGAGTTAGAAACTAGAAATTTCTATTTCACAATTGGAGTTCTTAGACTGTGGAGTCCTGGCTTTGTCTCTATGAAATACTGGTGTTTACCTTGTTTCTGGCACTGTGGCGGTGCCTCAATGATAGACACTCAAAGCTCTCAGGCTGTTGATGGGCGGTTGCTTGATTTAATGGGTATTACCTGAAGAGTAGGAGTGGGGTTGTCTGCTGTTGTGCTGTGTCTGAGGGAATAATGAAGCCATGAAGATGAGCAGAAAGGTTGACCCAGCTTGCTTTGTTCATGCAACATTTTAATCTTTTTCTCTTTCTACCAGGAAGCCAAAAAGAAGTATGACAAGGAGACAGAGAAGTATTGTGGAATCTTAGAAAAACACTTGAATTTGTCTTCCAAAAAGAAAGAATCTCAGCTGCAGGAGGTAAGAAATTGTACTAGTATTCTGAATAAACTGATTAATTTTACATGGTGCTGGGATATGTACTGGTTACTCTTTGCCAGGAAGTCCTCGGTTTGGAAGAGACCTCGGAAACCAGGAGCTTGATCCGATGCCTGGATGGCCTGTCTATCATCCCACCCACACCACCCCCTTTGGTGGCTGTCCAGCCTGTCAGGGGCAGAGGAACATGCTGCTGGTCAAGATCACCCTCTTCCTTGTTGGGGAGCCCTAATCACTAGAATGTACTTCTGCCTCGCAAACTGAAGCCTCTTTTCCTGTTTCTCTCCCCCTTGACCTTGATTTTATATTCTATTACTAGAACGTCACCTTTGACTTATGCCTATGTCAGTGATTTGAAATGTTAGCATCTGAAATGCTTTGGCCCTTCTCCCATAATATTAATTTAAAAAATCTTTTTTTTTTTAAAGCACGACTTTATTATCACTCATATGGTTTGTGGTTTGGTAACCTTGTTTGAAAAAAGTCAATTCTCTGACCTGCCCCTAGTCTTTCTGGATTTGCATGGGGTCTTTTTAAAGAGTAGTTCACTTGGAAAGAAAAGCCAGTTTGCGGCCCTGGCACAGTGACCATGTTTATTTTGTTCATGGAGGTTTACATGGCCAGGGAGTTTGCATTTCTGGGAGACAGTCACAGTAAAACTCCAAATATGGCTACACGAATGTCATTTTATTTAACTCTTAACAATTTGCTGACCTTTCTCAAGTAAACTAAAGAGCTGCTATGGTTTTCAAGCTAGCCCTCTTTCTTAAATTTCCTTTTTTTTTCTTTAGTAAATAGCATGTCAGTACTTCTATGAAATGAAAGTTCATATGAAGATGGTAGGGTCAAAAGTTGAAAGATGAAGACAACTCAGGAGACAGTGGAGTCCAGTGTTTGTTAGACATCCTCGGTTAGGGATGTGTGGTTCTCAGGACTCCTTGCTTAGGTATTTAAACCAATTGTTTGAATGATGATGAGAACTCAGCACCATCTCCAGCCACTAGTGTTTATAGTGGACTTAGCAGACCAGTTCTGGCCAACCAACCAACAGCAATTGAGTAATTGGTGCGAACTGTAAAAGCAAATGAATGAGGAGGTGATTCTTAAATAGCACAGCTATTTGGGTAAATCAAATGTGACAGAGAAAGCTAAAGAAATGCTTATTTTCATGCATGTTATATAAAGGCTATTCACAACTCCACGTGGGGATATGGGCATTAGACGATACCCCAGGATATGTGATTCTACAGGATAAATATATAGTTCCACTTAGGTTCTATCCTGGGACAAGTACTCATCTCTCTGAGCTGTAGTCCCTTTGTAAAATACTCATGAAATACCTATCCTGCCTACTTCATGTATGAGAAGACAAATTATAGCTGCTACACAAATATAGAGAATTATCCCTATGACTAACCTGTTTTTCATCCCCTATTCCCAAATTGAATGGTAATTTCTTTTTTCTTTTTAAATTTTTTTTTAAAAATTGATTTTAGAGAAGGAAGAAGGAGCGAGGTTGGGGGGTAGAACTACATTGATTGATTGCCTCCCATATGCTCCCTGACTGGGGATCGAAACCTGCAACATAGGTATGTGCCCTGACCTGGAATTGAACCTTCAACCTTCTGGTGCAAGGGATGACGCTCCAACCAACTGAGTCACGCTGGTCAGGGCTGAATGGTGTTCCACTTGACTGTCCTCATCTGTTGGAGCTGCTATATCAAAATACTATAGCCTGGGTGGCTTTTAAGCAACATAAATTTATTTCTCTCCGTTCGGGAGGTTGGGAAGTCCAAGATTAAGGTGCTGGCAGATTTGGTGTCTGGTGAGGCCTGCTTCCTGGTGTACAGACAGCTGTCTTCCTGCTATGTCCTCACATGGTCCGAAGGGGTAACGGGGTTCTCCAGGTCTCTTTAATAAGGGCAGTAATCCCATTCATGAGGACTTCACCCACATGACATAATCACCCCCAAAGCCCCACCTCCAGGTGCCATCACACTGGGATTAGGTTTCACGTATGAATTGATGGGGAAGGGCACCAGCACTCAGTCTGTAGCACAGGCTTTGCCAGTATATATATCCCTGTGGATATTTTTTCATTATGCTCTTTGTTACAGTCCTTTGTGTTCTTTTCTGTTACCCATTCATACGTTCTGAGTACACTGAGGGCAAGGGGTGGGCTAAAGGTCTTTTCTTGTGAGCCCTGGCCAGTGCAAATGTTGAATGCATATTCATGTGTCAGGCACTGTATTGAGCATTTTACATGGAATCTTTTCAACTCCTCATAGCCACCCCATGTGGTACAGACTTATTCCCATTATTTTACATATAAGAAGGCAGAGGCTCTGAGACGTTTACTAGTTTGCTCGTAGCTGGTCAGCAAGGATTTGAACCCTGACTCCTGACTGTGGAGCCCTTTCCTTTAACGCAGTAAGCTCTTCTGCGTCTCTCTCTGTCTTAGGAGAGAGGGATGGTGCTCTGCTGCCTATCTGCCATTGTCATTAACGTGTGTCAAACAACTAGGACTGGCCAGATGGAGGACCTTGGTGGTCATCTGGTTGAGCCTCCTGAACTTACCTTTGAAGGAACTGAGTTTCTTGTAGAAGTCTAGTGGTTTGCTCAAGGTCTTCCAGCTATTTAGTGATACTTCATATTTATATAAAAATCAATTTTTAGGATCATTATTAAACACCTAATACACATTTAATGAAATCTATTTCCTTTGATTATCCAGAACTGTTCCCCGATTGCAGGGCTCCAAAACCAATACTTATAAATGCTAGCCCATCCCTAGCCCTGGTGGGTGAAATTATAAGGCAGTAATGTGGAATGACACTGCTGCCATCTAGTGGATGACTTTTTAAAAATCAGTGTATTCTTTTGCGGTTCAGAAGCTACTTCAAAGACAGTATTGTTCAATAGATGGTCGTTGCACACTTCTGTGAAAAAAGTCTATTCAGGCATTGGGTAAATTGTGGGGCTGAAATGAGCGACCTGCCTTCATGAAACTTACCTTCTAGGACAGTGGTTCTCAACCTTCCTAATGCTGCGACCCTTTAATACAGTTCCTCATGTTGTGGTGACCCCCAACCATAAAATTATTTTCGTTGCTACTTCATAACTGTCATTTAGCTAATGTTATGAATCGTAATATAAATATCTGATATGCAGGATATATTTTCATTGTTACAAATTGAACATAATTAAAGCATAGTGATTAATCACAAAAACAATATGTAATTATATATGTGTTTTCTGATGGTCTTAGGCGACCCCTGTGAAAGGGTCGTTTGACCCCCAGGTTGGTGACCCACAGGTTGAGAACCGCTGTTCTAGGAGAAGTCTCTTTTCCAGGAAGCACAGAATGGTTTGGTGGGTCTCAGACAAACTGGTAGATTTAGCTTCTCAAGTAACAGGCAGGGAAACTGTCTTGAGTGGCTTGCTGGGTGGGTTGGAATCCTGGCTTACAATTCCATTGCAGGGGGAGCTAAGGATGTGGTGAATTCTATGGCCCAGATGAGTGGGGACATTGGCAGGAGACACATACCATTCCATATGGGATTTTTTTCTCCCTTTTCCTTTGGAATCACATTCAATTACGTGTCTGTTCTGAGAACTGGGTCCTGATAGCCACATAGAGATCAATTCATTCATTCCTGAAGTGTCCACTGAATGTTTTACTATAGGTCAGGTGTCCCTCAGGGAACTGGAATAGAAAAATAGAAAATGACACAAGGTCTTTGCTCTTACTTTATATTCCAGTAGTCAGTACATAAGGAACGAGAGGAATAAATAATAATGTTACATAGTAATAAGGAAATAAAGTGGGAGAGAAGATGGAGGCTCCCTGAGGTAACCCATCTAAAATAGTGTCATCAACAAAGGCTGCTCTGAAGAGGTAACACTTGAATGGAGACCAGAAGGATGTGAAGGCGTGAGCTAAGGGAAAAGTTGGGGTAGTGGTTCATAATTGAGGAACCTGAATGACTGGGTCATGAAATAGAGTAGAGTAGGCTGGGACAGAATGAAAAATATGGAAGTGTTTTGTATTTAGTTATAAATGTACTAGAGGCCCAATGCACGAAATTTGTGCAAGAGTAGGCCTTCCTTCCCCTGGCTGCCGGCACCAGCTTCACTCTGGCACCCTGGACCCGGGCTTTCCTCTTACCGCTGGCAGGCACCTGGTACCCAGGCTTCCCTTGCAGCCCTGGCTTTGTCCGGAAGGTCACGCAGAAGGACGTCTGGAAGGTCGTCCCAAAGGACGTCCGGTCTAATTAGCACATTGTGCTTTTATTATTATAGATATTTATTAGGTAATAATGCCAAAGGTATTTCTTATTGTGCACTGTAGTTAAAAAAAAAAGGATATTTATCTAGGGGAAGAGCTGTTCAGGCAGAATGGACACCAAGTGCAAAAGTTGCGAGACAAGACGGAGACTTGGAGTGCTGGAGGGCAACGAGGAGCCCAGAGTGGCTGGAGTACAGTGAGGGTGGGTTGGGGTGGGAGGAGGTAAAGTGGGACAGGTGGGCAGGTCACACTGGGTCTTGCAGATCATGGTGGAGCTAGAGGAAGGCATTGAAGGGGCTGTGAGAACATCTGGTTTAGATTTTAGGGAAGGTATTCTGGATTGGAAGGGGAGGGAGGGATTGAGAATGAAAGCGGGGAGAGCAGTTAGGAGAGGCGTGTAACTGCTGGAGATGATGTGCCTGGTTTAGGCTAGGAGCAGGGATGGAAACCCATCTATTCTGATGTCCCTGCTGATAATAACAGAATACTTCCTGGTTTTCAGCCTTTAGCCCATTTTATCTTTGAAACAGCTCTGCTCAGAGCAAGGGCAGATATTTTCATTTCCACCCTCCAGGTGTGGGGAAGAGACCCAGAGAGGACCACGGACTTGAGCCCATCTCACCAGCTAGAAAAGAATGGCGCTGCAGCTCCGGCCCAGGCATTTGCACTGCCAGCTCTCTGCCTGATGCTGGGCGCCGCTGTTTTTCTCAGAGGACTTTCCTTCTGGCTCCTTCATCCTGCCTGACTGCAGGAGGCACTTTGCCGATTGTCAGAATGACCCTTTTCTCAGTTGCAGTCTCAGTGGCTGAGAGGACATCAGGGCTGTGGGATAGTCAGGGAAGTCAGTGTAGGGAGGCCGTACTGCCTAATGGTTCAGAGACGATCAAGAGCCTTGGAGGCACATCAACCAGGACAGAAGTCGCAGCTCTGCCCTGTACTTCATTTTCCTCTTGTAAGTTAGAGGTAAAGATAATACCTTCTTTTCAGGAATTTCATGAGTATTAAATAACTAGAATTAATGAGGTTTGAATAAGGTAACATATGTATAGGTATGGGCACAGCGCCTGGCACAAAGTTAAGTGCTCAGCTAACCATTATCATTATTCTTATTTCTGTTTGATTTGTTTTTTAAAACTATCTTCAGAGATTTTTCTGGCCTGCTTGTGGAATGTTCTCCTTGGGAGGTGACTTGATTTTTCTCTGAAATTCCATCCTGTTTGTAGGCAGACAGTCAAGTGGACCTGGTCCGGCAGCATTTCTATGAAGTATCCCTGGAGTATGTCTTCAAGGTGCAGGAAGTCCAAGAGAGGAAGATGTTTGAGTTTGTGGAGCCTGTAAGTAGATGCTCTTTGTTGGTGGTGTTTCCATACCGTTATCCCCATCCCTTATTCCAGCTACTTAGGTAGCAGACGATCTAAGCTGTTGATGAAGAGGTTGCCCAGCCCTGATGCTGGGCCTTCTGGTAAAGAACCGAGCTTTCTCAGTCTGGCCTCCCTGGGTTTTTCCTGTGATCATTCCCGTAAAACTCCAGGTACGGTGGTAGTGCATTCCTCTAGCCACCCTGGGTGGTCCTATCTGGTTTGCAGGTGAAATTAGTGACAAAAAGGGAAGAGTGGAGTTTTCATCTTGCCAATCAATAGGATTACACTTTCCTCCTCCCTCCCCCGCTTCCCCTCTCCCTCAGATAATCCAAAGGTAGTAATAACCCAGGAAATAGGAGAATGTACAGACTTTTCTCTTTTGCCTCCTGTGTTCAAAGCACCTCTTCATCCCACTGATACATTACATGATGCTTTCTAATGTGATTTTTCACTCTATTTGTTATAACCAGAGTCCCTGGGTGCACCGTGATGGGATTTGTACTTGGGCAGTGTCTCCGTGGCCACGAAAGGTTGTAGTATGGGAACAAGTCTGGCTTTGGTTTAGGCCACCCCATCGTGGTTGTAGTTACATGCATGGAGCTGCCCCCACCCTGCCCTGGCACTGTTCAGAAGGCTTCATAGAAACACCAGAAGATCATAAGGGTCTCAACTCAAAACTCTTTCAGACCTTGCATTTTTCAGTCAAAATGCAGCTTCTGATTTAGACCCACATAAGATCTCTATCCACATAAGATTCTTATCGACCTAGAGTTAAGAAAGAGTGATTCTCTTAAGCAAATAAGAATAAAACTATAAGAAACTGAAAGAAAATGACTATTTTTTTTAGTAAAGAGTGTTTTATACCCTGTGTCTAATTTATAAACTTTTGGGATGCTTTTTAGGCATGTAGACTTGCTGATAGTTTTTTCAAGGCTCCAGATGGCTTTGGGATTTGATGCTGACATCTTTTACTATACTGGAATTTCACTCGCGGCCACCTTGTCTGGCAAAGTTTTAAAAACCCTTAATTACTTTAGTCTTCTTATCTGAATATTGGAAACTTTAGAGCCAGCTTCCTATCTAGCGGTGGTCTCTGCCACAGTGGGTGTGCCAGGTGGGAGAAGCCACCTGGCGGAGAAAGCGAGCTTGTCCGTTTCCCTGCTTATGGCACAGAGGTGTGAAAGCCAGGCTTTCAGTCAGTGGTTTACCGAAGACTGTTTCCTGTGGTTGGCAGGAATGAAAATGCTGTCTCAGAATTTGCCTTTGGCATTTTTATTTGCTTTTACTAGAATTTCTAGTGGGGAAAAAAAAAAAACACAGTGTGACTCTAATCATCCTTATGTTATGTATAATTTTCTGATTAATATTACTCCATAGTTGCCCAATTTGGATTAGCTGCATTTTAATAGGCCCATCCTACATTTTTGAGCTGAGTTTTTTTGTTCACTTTGATCTCTCAGTAGGTATTCCTAGGGAATCAGATATTCTATCTTTTAGCTTTTGCTGGTTGACAAATAACCACAAAAACCTCATACAAGAATAGGCATTTACTTTTTATATCTCTGTAGGGTTTACCCAATCTAGGCTAGGCTCAGCTGGGTGAGTCTGCTGATTTAGGTGGGCTTTCCTCCTCTTCCTCCTTCTTTCCTCCTTCTTCTCCTTCTCTTCCTCCTTTTCCTGTTTGTTTGTCTCTTCCCCCCAGCTCCCAAGAAATCTACAAGGTTTTATCCTTCTCTGTCCTGGCATTCTGTTGTAGTATATGAGTGTCTTGAGTCTTTTGAGAGGCAGTATAGCATCATTGTTAAGGGCTCTAAAGCCAGACTGCCTAGATTTAAATCCCAACTCAGCCATTTTCTAGCTGTGTTTTCTTGGGGGAAGTTATTTGTTCCTCTGAGCCTCAGTTCCCTCATCTGCAAAATGGGTCAATAATACCACCTTAACTGTATAAAGATGTTATGAGGATTAACTGAGTTTGTCCATGTAAGATGCTTAGAACAGAGCTAACCTAATTAGCACCCAATTTTATTGTATAGTTGTTAATTAGCATCTAGTTAATATTTATTTTTATTTTTTAAAAATATATTTTTATTGATTTCAGAGAGGAAGGAAGAGAGAGAGAGAGATGGAAACATCAATGATGAGAATCATTGATTGGCTGCCTCCTGCATGCCCCCTACTGAAGATTGAGCCTGCAACCCGAGTATGTGCCCTTGACCGGAATCGAACCTGGGACCCTTCAGTCTGCAGGCCGACGCTTTATCCACTGAGCCAAACCAGCTAGGGCAGTTAGTTCATTACTTTTTAGTAAATCTAAAAGCATTTATTTACTGATTACCATAGGAAATGCTGAAGACCCAGCAGCTGTGCCTGAAGAGCTCACAGCCTCACTGGGGAAGCAAGATGCATACAGAAGAGGAGTAGCCAAGGCAGCAGGCAGTTTAGTGCCAGGTTGGACAGGATGGATGGTATAGAAGTGCCAGAACAATTGAAAGAGTAGAAAACCATTGTGGTTTGCAGATGTTCATTAACTCATAAAGGCGAGGCACCTGGAAACCTAATGAAAAAAATAATTCTGGTCTCATGTTAGATTGAAGAGACTTGCCCACATTAAATTAAATGGGTCGGTTGAGAGGCTGGGTTTAGGATGCAGATGTTGAACCTTCACTTTTATGCAGGAGTTCTTTTTGTTTGTGAATACACCAGCTTCCAGACAGGCCAGTGGCTTCAGGAGCTGTGGAGCAGAGGGAGAAGAGACTCATGGAAGGAAAATGCCACTGGCAAGATCAGTGGTTCTCAAAATCTTAGATATACACATTCTCAGGCTCCACCCAAGCTCAAAATTGGCAGGTGGGGCCCAGTAATCTGTATTTTAGTAAGTCCTTTAGGTGATTCTGCTGCATATCAAAGTTTGAACCACTGGCCTACATTGTACAAAAGAACATGAAGTAACAATTGATACTGGCTGAAACTGTGTGTCCTGTGCCGATATCACATACATTACCTACATTGTCATCCAGTCCTTATAATGTCTGGGCGGGTGGGTACTATTTTTATATCTGTGTTCAGATGAAGGACTGGAAGTACATTTATTTACTTTTTCAAGGTCACATTTAGTAAATGGGGTTGATATTTATAGTTTGAGTTGGTTGCAATGAAAGGAATCTTCTAACCACTCAAGAAGCTCCCATGCCCATTGACTATGTTTGTTTATTAGAAAGTAACTTCACGTACCAGGATGTTATTGACCTTCAGAAAAAGAAACAAAATTTTAGTGTTCCAAGGAAGAAAAATCAGACTTCTGGAGTCTGAACTATACATACATATTTTTGTGTGTGTGCACCCTGGAAGCCTTCATTTTCTTGTTGAGGTACTAAATGTTCTGGACATTTGGATCGCAGATTATGATGTACTGACTTCATGAAGGTGAAGCCCTGCTCCGTCTGTTCCCCAAGTTTTCATAATTGAAGGTTACTCAGTGCTACAGAGAACTCATTCTCATGTGTCAGACGCAGTGTCCTCTTGAGTTCCACCTCCTGAGTGTTGGTGCTGTGCCTTCCTATCATCTCTCACTGCTCCTGCCCCATGGCAGGTCTTCGTTCTTTCTCTTTGGTCCGTTGCATCCTGTCCTGGGCCTCCCCCTTCTCCAGTCTGGCCTGGATCCTGTTAGCACAGTGCATCTTCTAACACATCAGTGTGATTATCTCTCCTGCTGAGCATCTCCTGCTGGCACTCGTGTGCTAATCTAAGCCCATTTCATAGCTGATCTCACTGTGTACACAACCAAGTGTAGGTAGCATTATTGTTCTCCTGTAAAGGATGAGCTAAAGGCAGTTACATGGCCTACCCAGCCCAGCTTTTCATCATGCTACCGTCTGTCCTTTGTTGTATGAATGAATGCTTCTTGGCAGCTACAGTAGTTTGCTGGGTTTCCTGTAGCCAGGTACCACAACCAGGTATCTTAGAGCAACAGAAATGTATTGCCTCAGAGTTTAAAAGGCAAAAAGTCTAAGGTTGAGGTGTCAGTAGGGCATGCTCCCTCTGAAACCTGCAGGGAAATGATCCTTCCTTTCCTCTTCCCATTTTCTGGTGGTTTGCGGGCAGTATTCATCATTCCTCGAATTGGAGATGCATCTGTCCTATCCCTCATCTTCCCTGTGAGTGTCTCTGTGTCCAATTTCTCTGTGTCCCTTTTGTAAGGATACCAGTCATTTTAGATTAAGGCCTAATGGCTTCATTTTAACTTGATTACCTCTGTAAAGACCCCATTTCTAAATAAAATCACATTTTGAGGGACTGGTACTCAGGACTTAAACATATCTTTTGGCTGGAGGGGCGGGGTAATAGGGGGTGGGGACACAATTTAACCCTTAACAGTAACTCTATTCTATGAATGGAAACAACCTAAAGGTATCAGATAGTCCAGAGTGATGCAGCCCACTAAAATGAAGGAGTTACATTTTTGCTTATTTAAAAATAAATAAATTAGATTCATGTTGTCAGCTAGGAATGGATTTTTTTTTAAACAGGTGTTTCCTGAGGAACACAACGATGGAGATGCAGGCAAAGGGAGGTGGGGAAGGTCTTCATTGGCAGGTCCTTGGTTGTGCTGTGACTATTCAGGGAGGAGCCTGGGTGGCCATGCTGGCTTCTTTTGTCTGACAAGCAGGTGAGGCTGCAGCAAGCTCTTCCTCTGTGTGTTTGAGTAGAAACATTTCTTTGAGGCAGACAGATCTTTCCATCTCTAGAGCCCTTCTCCGGGCCTCGTCTGGCACCCAGAATGGACTTTCATTTTCCACTGGGTAATAGGTTCAAGGTTCATACGGTTTGTAGGAAGGGTATGTCAGCAGGTGGGGGTAAAGAGAAAAGATGCTACGTTGGGGAGTAAGAAGGGAAAAAGGGCCAAAGGTGGCAATGTCTAAGGAATCACTTTCCGTAGAAAAATGGATGATCAGGCATGCTACCAAAGGAAGTGAAGACCAAAATAAATGTAGGTAACTCTGCCTTTGGACCGCTTGTGTGTGTGCCCAGGTGGCATCTTAGTGAGCTGTTTGAGATATTTAATTACTCTGAGCAAGAGAAGCTTTGTTGACTTTAAGGGAAGGATAAATCAGAGTTAATAGGAGGAATGACCTTAGAACTCGCTGCTTATCTTCTGCTTTATTCTCCTGCAGGGAATAGCTCAGTGCCTTGGAAAAGTGATGGGCACAGCATTCAAGGACAGCAGGGAGGGGAGAGCTAGAACAGTTTTCATTGTGAAAATCGACACTAGGTTTGTCATCTGAGCCCCTTCTTGTATATTCCTGGAGCCATCTAGAAGGAAAAGTATGGGCCTTCTCAAAAAAGTATTTTACGTAGAGTAAGTCCAGAGGCTTTGGTCACCCTTGAAGCAAAGAGTTTATCATTAGTCTTTGGTGACTTTATGTAACTTGCCGCCCATTCATTGACTTAGGTTAGGGATCTGTCTGTGGTGCCACTAGATGATTTTTTTTTACAGCCAGAGGACCCAGCAATGCCCGCTGCCCTTCCTCCCGTGAGGATCACAGGGGATAGGTGATGTAGTGGCAGTGGCAGTGGGAAGTTAAGGTACCACATTGTTGTAAGCTGGATTTTTTCTGACTTCCCAGTATGGAGATCTTTGATAAATTGGGCTGGGCCTGTGGCTCAGCCCAAAGACAGGTCTTTCCTCTGATATCAGTTAGCATTGCACATACCTTGGTGCTTTCCATTTCTGTCACAAGCATGGTGGGAGAGTAGTGGTGTGGAATGAGTTCCCCCATTATTAGGGCTGCCTCTTAGAAAAGGAGACTTAGGTGAAAATAAGTGAGGCCACAGTTAATAAGTAAACGTATCTTCGTTTAGGGACTGAAAAACTAAACACAACATAAAATAAAGCAACTGTGTCTGATGTAACATGTGGTAGAGGCAGATCAGAGAGGTCAGAGTGGACCATTTAGAACATGTGAGTCAGCATTGAAGTTCAAGTTAGAATGGATATGATCCCCAAATGAAGTAGCACTGAGCCTAGGATAGAGGTGAGATTCTGGTTCTTCTAAACCAGCGGTTCTCAACTTGTGGGTCGCGACCCCTTTGTCGGTCAAACGACCCTTTCACAGGGGTCACCTAAGACCATCCTGCATATTAGATATTTACATTACGATTCATAGCAGTAGCAACATTACAGTTATGAAGTAGCAACGAAAATAATTTTATGGTTGGGTCACAACATGAGGAACTGTATTTAAAGGGCCAGAAGGTTGAGAACCACTATTCTAAACCTCGTTCAGGCTCTGACTATAATCCTTTTTTAGATTGAGGTTTGGAACTGAGGCAAGGTATGTAGAACTCGGGGAGGGGCCAGGGCAGCCTAACAACAGTGAGGCTTGCACCTAGGCTCAGAGAAGAGACCACAAGGATGCTTATTCCGCTGGGGAAGGGAAGGCTGGCAGGGGCCCGGGGCAGGGACATGAATAGTTTTTAAGTATATGAAGGCCTCGTATGAGATTTTAGTGAACAGATGTTTGCACTCTTCACTAAAGACAAGACTAAACAATGAATGGGTTTACCTTTAGCCCAAGGCAATTTGAATGATAATTTAGGGAAACCTTTGTACCTGAAAATGTGGGAACATGGGAGTATTTTAATAAAGGAATCCATAGTGCTTACTTTGGAATAGTTGAGGGAAAGTGGAGAAGCACACTTGAGCTGAAGTCAGACCTGGATGATTTTTTTGTTGTGACTTTGCCTGTTAGACTTCAGACTCAGAACATACCAGCTTCCTTTTCTCCCTCTCTTGTTGATTATCGATGTAACCACTGTAATTATCAGTGTATGCACTGTGACCTGGTATTACAAACATATTAGGAAAAGACTAACTGGGAGCTCTGGTTTTCACTTTTCTGACGGAATGTTTATCTTAAGGTGGTGAGGCTCACAGGGTAAGAGCTTGGGTGTTGGTATCAAGGAGATCTGGCTTCAAATCCTGGCTGCCACTTGCTGTGTGTTTTGGGGCAAGTTACTTGACCTCCTAATTATTAAAATGAAGGTAATAGTGGTACTTACCTAATAGGTTGCTGTGAGTGCTCAGTGAGACAGTGCACATAAAGTTACCATGTCTGGAATATAAATAGTGCTCAGTAAGTGATAGCCATTTTATTACTTTATTCTAGATTTTCAATTGGGGTTGGGAATTCAGACACAACAACATAATAACCTCCTTGGTCTACTTATGTGGTGAACTCTGCCTTTCTACCTCATTGCAGCTACTGGCATTCTTGCAAGGACTCTTCACTTTCTATCACCATGGTTACGAACTGGCCAAGGATTTCAGCGACTTCAAGATGCAGCTGACCATTAGCATACAGAACGTGAGTGGGCAAAGGAACAGACTTCCTTTCCTCGGTTAAGGAAAGGAAAAAACAAATTATGGGTCTGGTTGCATAGAGAGCACTTATCTGGGATGGAATGCAAGTAAAGGGGGCGGGTATGCTTGGTTCAAAGGGCAGATGGGGGCAGGCTTTTCTAGGGTCTTGGTGGCCACAGATTAGAACATCATCCTATTCTCTATTATTTCAAAGCACTATTTATATTTTCGGAAGTGCTGCTGCTGATTATGTTTTAAATCTGTAGCACCAGAGTCAGGATTTCCTTTGGCAGTGGAAGGCCTGGCCCAGCCCAGCCCAGCCCAGCCCTGCCCTTCTTAGCCCCTCTTCTGTGCATCTAGCTGCCTGGCCACATGAGACCTTGGAGTGAGTGTGTGTGTGTGTGTGTGTGTGTGTGTGTGTTTAGGAGTGGGGGTGGGGCACACATGCTGACCTCCAGCTCAAAGGGTGTGCTCTTGTTCGACTCTTAGTAAGGCTGAGAGACAGTCCGAGTCAGTGTGGCTTACACAGCAGGGCCTCTCGGTGCTCAGAATCCTGCCTAAGGCTCTTTGGTTCGCAGTTACTGGGGCCCGAGCCCCCTTCTTAATTATGTCTGGCCATGTTAGCATGTACATTGTCTTTGTCTCTAGATCAGCGGTTCTCAACCTGTGGGTCGCGACCCCTTTGGGGGTGGAACGACCCTTTCACAAGGGTCGCCTAAGACCATCGGAAAACATATAATTACATATTGTTTTTGTGATTAGTCACTATGCTTTAATTATGTTCAATTTGTAACAATGACAATACATCCTGCCTATCAGATATTTACATTACGATTCATAACAGTAGCAACATTACAGCTATGAAGTAGCAGCGAAAATAATTTTATGGTTGGGGGTCACCACAACATGAGGAGCTGTATTAAAGGGTTGTGGCATTAGGAAGGTTGAGAACCACTACTCTAGAGGATCCTATGGAGAAAAGAAACCAAATGCATCCATGTGGGTTGTATTGCATGGCTTTTGGAAGCCTGCAGCTCGCTCTGACATGGTTCTCTGTGTCTTCTGAGAGAACAGGAAGTTGCAGAGTCTGGGAAAAGGTTTCACAAAGCATGGCTTCCCCTTTGGCTGGCTTCCTCAGAGGGCCAACGGAAGTGGAGATTTACACGTAGCAGGTGTACAGGGAGCAGTGTTGGCAGAAATGCCTGTGAGAGAGTGAGGCCCCTGCAGGAGAGGTTGAGCTGAGATGCATTTGAGGCAGAGGCCTCAGTCCATGCCCTGGTACCCTGGAGCTGGGATGGCCTTTGGAGCTGTGGGAATAGAAGCAAGGGGATCTTCCCCTTTTGTCCCCAGACTAGTCATTGGGTGGGTACAGGCTGCCCTGGGGAAGGGAGTATCCCTCAGTGAGGCAGCTCCCTTTGGAGGAGGGAACCATCTGAGATATCAGCCAGCAACATTGCCTGCAGCTGGAGGATGAGCCCCTCAGGCCTGAGGGGAGCTGGGGCCAGGCCCTCCTGTGGAGCAGAATCACCTTGGATGCTCATTTCAAATATGCATATCTGGGTCCAGGGGTACTCATTTCATCTTTAGGAGTGAGGCCTGGGCATTTACATTTACTCCAAGTTCCTTACGTGATTTTGATGGTCCTTAGAGTTGAGAGACAATCTGGTAGAGGACCTTAAGGCTAAAGTATACTTCTTGAATATTTGCCCAATTCTTAGATGGCTGACTTTAGAACTAAATTATCTGATTTTTAGATATAAGAATTCTATTGGCGCCGAACTGGTTTGGCTCAGTGGATGGAGCGTCGGCCTGCGGACTTGGCGCGGGGGG